GTGAATACCCCTAATGTGTCAGTGAATGCGGGATAACAAATTTGCAAGAAAAGAAAAAAATCTAAACGAAAATATAGGCAAAATATATGTATATAGTGCATACATAGTGTAACAGACGAGACTCAAATCGCCATGGTAACGGCTAAAAGCATGTTGCTGCAGGCTCAACCTCTAAGCTGTCTTTGTGAACAATAATGTAGATTGTGGTGGTCAGTTAGGCGTTGCACGTTTGTGTACATATGTATGTATGCACATAAGTTAAGCTGCTGGCAGGCAAACCTTTTGTAGGCCACTTTTGACTGCCGCTTGGTGAAGAGAGCCACTTGTGTGGCAACGAACTGTGCAGCTGAGTGATAAGTTGCCAAATTAAAGAAAAAAGTGCTCAATGATGGGTGGTTAGTGCGGTAAAGCAGTTGGCAGCTTACCTTTTGCCAAAGTCAATGAGTAACATGATAACGAAGCACAGCGGGAGGGGCGGGGGGTGGGGGGGTTTGGCAACATGAGACTGCGGTAATTAATGAGCAGCTGCGCTGACAACCGACAATGTGCTCTTTCATTTTAGGCAAACTGTTGGCTAACACAGCCTCACCTACATGCATGCATACATATGTATGTATGTACAAAAGGGTGCATCACCAAAAATAAATTTTGGCTTTTACAACAGAATTATAAAATATATTATATTTAAAGACGTCCGCCAAAATATTTCGGAAAAATATTAAGAGCTTCATAAACTAGACTGATTGAAAATACCTCCAAAAATCTCATTATTTTGATTCCGTTGATAAAACTTTTAAACATTTTTATGCAGAAGTTTTAAGCTTAAACTTTGCTATAGTCTGCGCCGGTTTTTTAGAAAAAATATTTTTAAAAACTAATTTAGTTATAAAAAACTCGAATTTTGTAGGTATTCTGAAATAGCGAATCTCAATATTTTTTCGAAATATTTTGATGGAAGCATTAAAATATAATAAATTTTTTATTTTCAATGGAAAAAAGTAGCGAGTTTTTTTTTCGTATGGAAAGTGATGCACCCTAATGTACATGTATGTTTAGGTACATGTGTTTCTCTATTTTTTTAAATCCGTCTGCATGCTGGTATCATCTGCACATATGTACATACATACATATATATTTGCTGTACTTACAATGTATGCTGAGCGAGATCCGTTTTGAAACCGACGGCGGCACACCATTTGATGCAATGCAGAGGTACGAGCCCATTTCGCTGCGTGAGATTTTCGTCAGCTTTAGCACTTCCCCACGAAATGAGGACACTGTGTGAATGATAGCAAGCAAAAAATGGAAAGCAAGTTAGCAAAAAATTTAAATGTCTCAATTTAATTTGTAATGATTAAATTCCGTATTTGTTATGTAAAATGTGAACCAAATTGGAACATGAAAGAGATTTAATTTATATTTGCTCACCCATGGTCTTTGTGCCTACATTGTCTTTGAGCACAATTTCGTTGCCGTCTTCTCGACGCCATGTCACAATCGGTTCGGGATAGCCACGTGCCCTAGTTAAGGAAAACAAAACATGGTAAATTAATTTTTAAAGTGTATATTTATTAAATAGTTATATCAATATATATTGGAAGCGGTAAGACCTAAAATCTGACTTAAAATTTTCTAAAAATTTGTATAAAATTTGAATATCGGATTTAAAGTTTTTTTTTTAATGTAATATGCTATAGTTTTATAAAAAATTTATGAATATTAAAAAAAAAAGGAAAACTGTATATACTAAGGATCAAAAGGGTGCGCTATTCAAATGACGAGGAGTGTAAGTACAATATTTTGCCTCCGAGGAAAGGTTAAGGTTAGTTCCAATTAACTTTGGTAAAGAGAGTTCTCTTAGTGTTCCTTGTAAATAAGGCAATTTAAGTTTTATAAGGGTAATTTTCGTTCCAACTGTAATCATTATTATAGTCATTTTATTATTTAAATTTCTCCTCAAACCGGTATTTAGTTAAAATCGTTTCTTTTTCTCCTGTGTATCAGAAGATATGGCAATGAGAAATAAAAAAAATCGAAGTGATATTTGCACTGCAACTTTTTGGGCAAGCAAATAATCCTAACCTAATTTTCAACAAATACCTTCTCGCCTCGTTGATGTAAAGAAATAAGCATCATTGTTCATAACATGGCACCAGTGAACTGACCCAACTGAGAGAACTATATATAAACATTGGTCCTACATATGTGATATTTAGCCACTACGAACGGTGACTGCTAACTTATAGCGATTAACGCTTTGTGCCAACGCTGTGGTAAAAAAAGATGTGATGGGTGGTTTAAGAGGAAGTGTTGGGATGATTTCATCTCGTTGTCCTCAATACACCCATCAGAACTGAGAGTTTCTGGCTTCGTGAGTCTAAGGAAATCCCTTTCTTCATACTCTATATCCGCGATGCGAACAACTGGATGTTATTTTGCATATATGTACATAAGTCTGATTAGTAAGATGCGACTGAAAAGCTGGTCAGGAATTTGCTTCACCGGGCCTCCTTACAACCAATGCCACCCGTCAACGCTCACCCTAGGGAGTATGCAAGTGCAGAAAGAGCTCAATGAATTCAGCGTAGCCACGCAGTAATCCGTGTTATAATAGATAAAGTCGAAGCTTACTAGAGTGTTGAGTACCAACGATGCCGATAGGAGCAACGTTAATCAGAGTGGGTGCCGGTCTAGGTGGTCCAGTGATTTCAACGAGGCCACTGCGGTTTCCTGACTATCGTAATCTTCTATAGTGCATTCCACCAGACATTATGAGATTCACTATGATATCAAACAGCCAGAGAATTGCCTTCCTCCTTCCTTGTACCCTTGCATCAGATTAAAAATTAAAAGCTATAAATAAAAAATAAATAAAAAACGTAAACAAATGAAAATAAAGTATACATAAATTAAAATATTTTTAAAAACTAGAAGAAAAAAATATACAAAATTTTGTTTCTTCTTAAACAAATCTGAAAATTATATAAGAAAAGAAAAAAAAAGAAAAAAAATGTAGTACTTAAATTAAATTCAATTCAAAAATATATATTTTAATTTTAAAACCAAATCAAAAATTAATAGTAAATTAAATTAAAAAATAAGAAAAATATTTTCTTGAAACGAGTGAAATAAAAAAGGATATTTTTTTGAAACAAAAAAGAAATCAATAAAATAAGAACAAACTAAACTTAAAAAAGAAAAAATAAATAAGCTTCTAAAGTTTTTTTCAACAATTTATACTAAAACAAGAGAAAATAAAATAATAATGTAAGAATAAAAGTCCCTAAAAATTAAATCAAATAAAAAAAAATATTGTCCTTTTAAAACAATAACATCTATACATTAAAAGAAAACTAAAATAGCAATAAAAAAAATTTAATTAAAAAGGAAAAAAATACATAAAATTAAATTAAATTAAAAAAATATATATTTTTCTTTTTAAGAAAATAAAATTTAAAAATGAAAAGAAATAAGATTAAAAAGAGAAAAAAGTGTAGTTAAAAAAAAGAAAAAAATGCTGCCCCGGACTCGAACCCGGATCTCTCGAATGGCACACCTGTGCTCTTTTCACTCGGCCATTGCGACTGTTGGAGCGGGGTGAGCTAAATGATGTACAAGTGATTTTTCTCAAATAGATTTTCACCACAAGAGAACTTTTTTCTAAGACTTTTGGGATAGAATAACAAAAGTCTTTCGAACTTTCTTGCCATCTGTCTTTCATTTGTCTTACGAAAGACTTTTTACTATCTTAGCCAGAATCGCTCTGTTACATTAAGAAGGATTTCGTTTCAACATTTTACTAATTTTCTGCCAGACTTAACTATAAGCTACTCACAACAGCGATATTAAGTTTCTAACTTTTCAGACCTCTAACACTATAAATTTATTTTGTTGGATGTTTGTTATTGCAAGCCAAGATTATTCTGTAATAGTTGCAAAAAAGAACGGTTACTAAAAATAAAAAATAAATAGTCTTATTTATCTTCTTCTTGTTTTGTGCTGCAACCACCAAAGCGATTTTAGTCGAGTCCAGTAAAACAGACCGGTGGTTTCCGATCACCTAAAATAAACTTCCAGTGAAAAGTAAAATTAATCATTGGATGAGACCCTTTTCTTTTGATGACCTAGGTATACGGTGAACGCATACAGGATTGTGAATTGAGGGCATGCTCGTGGAATGTCCGAACACCTAACTAATTTGAAATATTGAATATAATAAGAACTCACTTTGATCCCTTTTAAAATTCTCTTTAGCTTTTTTCAGTGAATAAGTACGCTAAAAAATCCTCAAATATCCGCCTTAGAGACTTCTACCGGCACAAAAAACTAGCTCAGAGCCATTTGTACAACTTTCGACCAACAAAAAAAAATACTTCATTCATTACAGTAATAAAAACCACAACAAATAACTCAACAAAATCTTACTGGCCCATCGTTAAGGGCGTGTGTGTGCGTCCACCACCATTAAGTAATAATGTCAACAAATTAAGCGACACTTCATTCTTCTTGATTTAGTGGGAAGAACTTTGCCATTTCACTGGTTTCATTTGCCGATTTGCGGCACTGGCACTACGCCGCACAGTGCCGCGACTCCATACAAATGATGGACAAAAATAGAAGGA